AGGTTAGATGCTCAACGCTAGTGTTCATATGAAAAAAATAAAATCCAATGATTTGTACTTAAAAGAATAAGCTTCTCAAGAAAACTTACTCACGTGCTTCATCTGTATCCAGACATTGCTGCAGAAATATAGGGTTTTCTTTATTTCAGCTGCACAGCAAATAATAAGAGTCATATATACTCAAAAATACTCAATTTATTTCTTTTAAAAACATGTAGACATACTGAAGTCACTCTGGTTTGTTATACCAGAAGTTTAACATGTATTATTTATTCCAGCTCAAACAGGTCCCTGAAGGAATGACTGTCCATCCAAGGACGTCCTCCTGATAGCCCAATACAACCTGCCCATCATTCCAAATTAAACAAGAAAGACCAAGGAGAAATGATACCAAAGCACTGACCGCTAATGTAAAGCTGTGTGACTGTCACATCGAACACATGCTACGGTGCTGTAAATGATATTACACTGTATACTTCAAAAGAGCTTTTAAAGAATTCAGTGTATTACTAGAAAGAGACGTAGTCGCCGCCTTGATGTACAAAGGACATGCTTGGAAAAAGTATTCTGACAAAGTAGTACTTAGGCTGATCATGCACCACCAATAAATGAATGAATGAGTAAACCAACCAACCAACCAACCAACCAGCCAGCCACAGGAATGCACCTCTGTGGCTCTCAAAACAATGTGCTCACCTAACTGATCTAAAGAGAAGGCCTTTAAATGTAGATCTATGCTTAGAGAGAACTGGGAAACATGTAGGCAAGTGAAGGTCAATTAAACCAATGAGGTCACAGTGTCCTTGACTAAATATGGACTGCAGGAAAAGTGTGACTTCATTTTCTATATATGAATGAGAAGCTGAAATAGGCACCAAAATATGCCAGGCACAAAATCCAAGGCAGTCAGAGATAGCAGATTATTCACTTATTACACAGTTTTCATTGAAACTTTATATTGCAAAAAAATCAAAGAAGAAGTCTGTGTTTAAACAGCAGGGAGGGACAGCATGCTTGTGTCATCAAATATTACGCTGCTCTATAAAATCATACTTCAATACCTTTCGTGTGTGTGGTGGGGGTGGGGGGTTGAGCCCAGCCTCACACTTAAATACTTTTAAATGATCTGGGAAGATGCGTCTGTGTTCTATGAAACACAGAGATACGCACAAACATTTCCTCAATCGTGTTAAGAACTAAGTGAGCAGGAGATACCCAAACTGTTAAAGGAGTTCTCTTACCAGAATAGAAGTAAAGGTACTTCCCACCTCTATTTTTTTAGTACTTACACTTTAAACAATCAGCACATGTCACTAGGAAAAACATTATTTTGAAATTTACTTCATTAAATTAACTAATATAAAATAGAGTGAAAAGGGGAGACACTTAGAAACTTAGGTGGGGATTTAAATTCTGCCTTTAAGAACTTTGGAATGTGGGCCATGCGTGGACACGGTTAATTCAGCGGCAGCTCTGCGTGGGGAAATCCCTGAACAGCTCACTGGCGCTCGGCGGAGTCCCTTCCCCAGAGGGGCCTGTGCCATGTACTGCATTAGCTCCTTTTTATTGCTATACATCCTGGTCTAATGGAAAACTTTTATTTGTTGTTTTTTGGAGGACAGAGGCTGCACTCTGCTACTCAGTACACAGGAAGAACATTCAATAACCTCATTTTCCTGGGCTTCTGTCTCTCTCTTTTTCATGTTATGTTATCAGTATGAGATTCTCTTACATCTGAAAGCCTAATTCTAGGTTTCCTAAATGAGACAGGGGCTTTCCTAAGTTAGAAAGGGTAGACTGAGCAAGCACATTAACATTACACATCTTACTCTGGTAATTGTAACAATCCATATGCAAAACTCTGCATTCACAGACTGAGTATCTCAGGTTGGGAATGATCACACTGGACCCTACCAAAGTCCTGGACTCATTCAGAGCTATGTGAAATAGCTAGAGTTACCACGTGAAGCAAGAAGGTGGATTAACTGGCATTACACAGAACCCATTTTTTGGTCAAGAGAGAACAACTGTGACTGTCCTTTGTCCTCCATAGCAATGTTCTCCTTAACATTTTAAGTGCTATTAAAGTAGCTTTCAAAAAAGTTCTCTAATTTTTTCTATCTAAGTTGCTAAACTTGGCTTTTAAGGCACTCAGGGACTTTGTACCAAATTTAGTTTTTAAAAGAGATAACAGTCCTTTGAACATGAACAGATCAAATGGACATTGCCAGATATTTTAAAAGACCTGCAGTTTAAAATATATCTCAGCATTATTCTTTCCTTAGCAATCTGTACTGTGGTAATGATAAATATTGACTTCTAAGTAATTTTATTGTGAGTTATCAGTTGTTTATTACGTATTTTCTTCTCTTGACCAAAGGCTCTGCCAACCTTATTTTTAAAATGGTATGTTTTTGATGTAATTATCTGAACAATTCAGGTCTTCTTACGTGAATTTCCTGGTTACAATGTGCTCTTCCTGGGAGCCGTTTTTAGGATGGTCCCACATTTATTAAGTTTCTAACACATTCCTGCCAGCTTGAAACACTGGTGGTACATGCACAACTGTTCCACTGGGCAGCTTACAGCACACAATGGGACCGTCCCATGCCACCTGATGGGACAATCACGCATGTACCACCAGTGGGTCAAAGCTACCTAGCAGCAAGACGTGTGCCCTGTTGTGAATGTGTTGAAATTCAAGATATGAACTGGTGTGGTGGTGCACACCTGCAATCCCAACATTTGGGAGACTGAGGTCTGGGGCCAGGCTGGGTTAACCAGCGAGTTCCAGGGCACCCCAGACTATATAGTGAGACCCTGTCTCCCAAAAAAGAAAAAAAAAATTAAAAATTGAAAAAAAAGTTCAAGATACAACAAAGAAGATTAAATTCAGACCTAAATCAAGAATCACAAAAGTGAGAACATATTCCTAAGTCTCTAAGACTCCTGGGCAAACGTTATTGCACAAGCTTTAGTGGTGGAGGGAGGCAGGAGGAGGGTCGAGGTGGGTAGAGGTGGGTAGGAGCCTGAACTTCAGCTCTGCCATCCTTGTCTCTGTGACTGCGGGCAAATGACTTACCATGCCCAGGCCTCTCACTCTTTCCTCAGATATGACATGTGCTAAGTTATATTTTGAGCACACAGTAGGAGCTCAATCAATGAAAGGAAGCCATTCATACTTTTGTTCCTCAATCTGTAAAAATGGACATAAGGACAATTTTAGGTATATTATCACAGAGCATTTTCTGTATCTACGGGCTCCTACAAACGTTATTTTCCTTTCTTCAATAATAAATAAATTCTCATTCTTTGCTATGGTGATTATGTTTAATTCACAAGCAATCTAATCTGTATAATGTTTTTTTTTCCAATGTAGAATTCAACCTTACCCCCAACTTCTGAAATTATTGTCACAACCACACAAAAAAAGTAATAATAGATTTTGCTGGTTTGTTAGAACAGGTACTCAATGATATTTGGTTTTCTTCCTTGATTGATCTATAAAATGACAGAGAAATCTATATGCAATAGACCGGGCTGCTGGGGAACAGCAGGAGGCTCTGCACACAGGGAGGAGGCCTCTCTGTGGCCAGGTGCGCACCCAGGCTGGGAGCTTGGAGACTATTTGTGTGCAGTTCCTTCACATGGCCACATACATGCAGTTTATTCAACTTTCAGCAGAATCCTGCACAGAGCAGGATGCCCATTCTAAAAGTTCTGTCCACAGTTTGTAAGGAAATCCACACCCTGGCGTTTGTAGTAATAGGAAATCATCTAAAAGATATTTGAAATGATTTTGCTACCCTTTTATACTTGACAAGCCAGAGACTTACAAGCGAATGAGGTTTTTATTTTTGAGTTTGCACTTTTTCATCACCTCCAAAGCATGTGAATCAGACGCTGCGTTTACCTTTGCACTGCCCCACGGTCACCCCTGCACCCTAGGATTTGTAAATTACTGACATATGAATCATCATGGACTACAGAGAGGTCACTTCACCTGCCCAGTGGGTGGCTGGACTGCACGTATCTATCTGTCCGGAACTTTCTTCCTTCCCCGACAAAAAACTAAATAAATGCATTTTATTTAGTAAATAAAAGCATTTTACCCCAACTGCTCTGAAGCACAATAAAGAGAAATGATGCAATTTGCAAAAGCAGGTCTAAGCTAAACTTCAGAAAATATGTAGCACCCATCCGCACCTCCTGTCATCCGCCCCAGAACGCGGTTTCACTCGGCTGGAGGCCCTTCGAACCCTCGGTACCCAGAGGCACAGCGCAGGGTACCAGTGCCCCTCTGCAGGAGAGCCTGCAGCGCCACAATTGCAATGATGCCACAGGGAGAAAACAAGGAAAAAAAAAAAAACACGCCAAACCCAAGCGTGCATCCCTTGTTAGTGATCTCAAGCGGTGAAAAGGAGTGAAAGAAGAAAGAAATCCCGAAGTATAGATACCCAGGAGTCGATTTAACCAAACACATTTGGGACACCCCTATCCTCACCTAGACTACAAAACAAATATTTAAAAATTAGAAGGACCTGGGACATCCACCTGGAGACCTTCTGCAAGCAAATCCGCACCCCCCCAACTCCACCCAGCAGCGAAACCTCCCAGCACTTAAGCTACTAGAAACTACATGTTAGTTATGGACCTGAGATTTACATAATCACAAATTACATAATACTCCTCTGTGCAGGACAACCCTTCTGTAGGTGAAGTTCCACACCACCCAGTCTTTCATCACTATCAAGAGTGGGAGAGAGCTGGAAAAGTCTCCTGAATAACTGGGGGGCGAAGGGGAATGGGGTGCTAGAAAAGTCACCCTTTGCAAGCTGCAAACCCAACGAGCGGCTCCAGGGTAGCAGGGGGGTGGTAGCAGGTGACTCCCCGCTGCCCATCCCCTGGCGCCCGGCTGAGGGTTGAGGGCTGAGGGTTGAGGGCTGAGGCCGTGGCAGGGCGAGCGGGGTGCCGGCGGGCAGGGGGCGCCCCGGGCTTACCTGCTCCCCGAAGTCGATGGCTATGTTGGTGATGCCCAGGGGCACCAGAAACCGGATCAGGGGCCAGTAGTGCGTGAGCGCCGGGAATTTCACCATAGTCCTCGCCGTGGGCTGGCCCCACACACATCGGCCGCGCGAGGCGAGGGGCTGCGGGGGGCGCGGCG